GGCGCAAGAGCGTCACGTGGTCTGAGATCGAGGGCGCGGCGCTCTCTTTCCCCGAGGTGCGCAGCGCGCGCAGGCCGACGCGCGTGGCGGCGATGCCGGACAGCGCGACGCCTGCACGCCGCTCGGGTCGCCTCTCCGCGCGCTCGGGAAGCAGGAGCGTGGCCTGAGCGCCCGCAGCACACTTTGCAGCCGTGGCCGGGACACGCTGCTCGGAGGGTGAAGGAGAGAATGAAAGATGCGCCTTTTGTTCTGGTCGCTGACCCGCGGAGGGACAGGATGGCGCGGGCGGCGGGGCGCTTTCTGGCAGAAGAGTCTGGAGCATGTCGCCACTGCCCCCGTCGCCGTCGGGCCTCCACTGCCCTGCCAGTTTCGAGTTGCAGCCAGTCGCGCACTCGCGCTGTGCTGCCTGTACGCACACCGTTGAACGGAGTCGGCAGTCTAAAGAGCGAGGTCCCTTGGCATGACATTGCAAAATTATTGCCAGGGCCGTAACTCATAGTAATCTAATTATATTTAATGAATTATCACTAAACTATTGTATATATATATATATATAACTAGTTACTCTACTCAATAATGAATAAGAAATTCGCACTTGATACTTCAAACTAATGTTTCTGCTATATAATTTGAAATGTAACCTAGTCGCCCTCGCCCAGAGCGACGGGCGCGCTGCGCTCTGACCTCTGTGGAGAAGCTACATTCCGCCAGATCGCCCAGGGCGATGTTCCAGGCGAAGAAGCAGACGGAGACGATCCCAAGGCTTAAGCGGCACCACTTGCGCGACATCCCTGGACCTTGATGTCAGCATACTGCATGACGGCGCCGATGTTCAGGCTCTTCCGCACGCAGCTGCAGCCGCATTTTTACGGAATAGCGAGATGAGGAAGGAGGGTACCATTCCAACCCACGTCGACGGCTCGATCCGCCGTCAACGGGTTCCTCCGTCCTCGTTGACCGATCTGGTGCTGGGACGCCGTGCAGAGCAGATCACCATCCAGAGCAGCTCGGACTTACTCAATCCGCGCTGACGGCCAACACAGAGCACCACTCGCACGCTCAGCAGAAGAGGCCGCACGTGCTTTCCGGCCACAAGGTGAAGCCGAGGACCGCGGGCACCGGGCAAGAAGGACAAGGCAAGCGCAGCACCTGCGCCACCGCCGAAGCCATCGACGCCGGCCGCCAACGGATCCCGGGTCCAATGCTAACAGCGCTCGATCCGATGAAAGCCGATGTACGGCACGCTGCCCGACGCTGCTACAACGTGTCGTCCCGCCTGCTCGCGGGACTTGGAGATCGCATTCATGTGCATCAAAGGGGGGTCTTGCATCTTTCCCATATCACTCGCTGACAGGCAGCGCATCGTGGGTTGCGTCGTCGTGTGGCTACCAGTCGAGCACACACACAGTATGTGTGAAAGTTTCTAGTTCAACGTCCGTCCCCGAGAGGATCTCACTGGATTTAAGTGTTGAAAAACACTCAGATCAGGGATCCACCCCGAGCACACGGATACCGTCCCCACCGCTGATCAGTTCAGACACACGACGATCGACGACTGACTACTCTCGACTGGCGCGCTGACCGACCTCCATTGCTCTCCCTCGCGTCGTCTGAAAATGCAGCACCGTCTGCGAGCGCGGCACACAGGCCTGCTCGACTCACAAAACATTACTTCTTCACTAGCCTGTATCACATATATTGTGATTATTGCCCCGAGGGACAGAAATCGCAAATATACGCGGCTTGTCTGCTGGCCCAGTCTATCCCACCCCTTGCCGGGGGTGGGCCTTGGGCGCAGGGCTTTGGGATGCGGGAAATCGCGGGCTTGCTGGCTCATGATTGTGTTTTGGCAACTTTGAGTTTGCTGGCTCATATTCGGTTTTGGGTTTCTTGCCGCCCGAGTGGTGTGTCAGCGTGGTTGACTGGATGGTCTCAAAGGCCAGTTTGGTAGATGAGCGCATTGTGCGTGGGTGATTTCCGTGTAAGTTTCTAGTTAAATGTCCGTCCCCGGGAGGATCGCACTGGAAAAAAGCGTTGAAAAAAACACTCAGATCCAGGGATCCACCCCGAGCACACGGATACCGTCCCCAGCGCTGATCAGTTCAGACACACGACGATCGACGACGACTCTCGACTGACGCGCTGACCGATCTCCACTGCATCTCCCCCGCGTCGTCTGAAAATGCAGCACCGTCTGCAAGCGCGACACACCTACGCGACTCCCAAACCATTACTTCGTAGCCATCTTCATCAAAACTGATTGCTGCGCAGGGGGGCTGAGCGCCCCCTCCCAATGCAGATATCATGAAAGCCACCTCCCTCAACGCCTAGGGCGTTTGCGGGTTGTGTTGAAGGGTCATATGAACTAACTAACTAGGCTAAATACTGAATATATCCGAGCGTGAAGGTCATCCGATAACCGCACCCTCGCGCAACCGCGCGGATCATCCGAACCTGGCGCATTATCTGATAACCACACCCTCACGCAGCCGCGCCTGACCAGGCAGGAGGAGCAGGCTCCTCTCGAGCAGAACAGGCGCCCGAGTCTGGCCGCGACGGAGGACAGCCAGACCAAGCAGCCGCGCCTGAGCAGGCAGGAGGAGCAGGCTCTCAAGCAGAACAGGCGCCCGAGTTTCTGCAGTCGCGACCCACCAGCCAAGGAGAACCATCACGGGTTTACGTGCACGGAGAGGGCGTGCTGGACCGGGCCCGACGGCACCAAAATCCCCAAGGTTGCCGCGGAAACTGGGTTCACCGACCCCTGGGGCAAAGAGTTCTTTTCGTGTATGTGCGTACACTGCAGGAACCAGTGCAAGCTGACAGACACCTGCAATGCGACCTACATTGCCGGACCTCCCGATTTTTCGATGGGCTGGCCCTGGCACAAGTAAGGTCGAACGAAGCGGTCTCCGCTCAGCCTCGATTAATCACCGGTGTGCAGTGTCGCATCATAATACCAGAGTCCCTATGCTTAATCACCACCTAGCTGGACTATTAGGTCTTGGATCACTTTCATGGGCAGGACACCAAATTCATATAGCTTTACCGATTAACAAGCTACTAGATGCAGGTGTAGCACTACAAGAGCTTCCGTTGCCTCGTGAGTTTTTGACAAATCATGAACTAATGAGCCAACTTTACCCGAGCTTCGAGCAAGGTTTAAAGCCATTCTTTATTCTGGCTTGGGGAGAATATGCGGACCTCTTAACATTCAAATCAGGACTAAACCCTGCTACTGGTGGACTTTGGTTAAGTGATACAGCGCACCACCACTTAGCCATTGCATGTTTATTCATCATCGCTGGGCATATGTACCGTACGAACTGGGGTATAGGGCCTTCGATAAATGAGATCTTAGAAGGACACAAGGGTCCATTTACAGGAGAAGGACACAAGGGTCTTTACGAGATCTTAACAACTTTTTGGCATGCCCAACTTGCTATTAACTTAGCTATGGAAGGATCTCTAAGTATAATTGTTGCACACCATATGTATGCAATGCCTCCATACCCTTACTTAGCGACAGACTATGCAACGCAATTATCACCATTTGCGCATCACATGTGGATTGGTGGATTCTGTGTTGTAGGCGCAGGTGCACACACGTCAATCTTTATGGTTAGGGACTATGACCCAACGCAGTCTTAAAACAATCTTCTTGATCGAGTACTAAGACATAGAGAATCTATCATTTCCCACTTAAATTGGTTTTGTATTTTCTTAGGGATGCACAGATTTGGTCTTTATATCTATAACGATACAATGCGAGCGCTTGGTAGATCAAAAGATATGTTCTCTGATTCTGCTATTAAATTAGAGCCTGTATTTGCACAATGGATTCAAAGCCTATATACCGTGGCTAATCAAGGAACAGCACCTAACGCGCTAGCTACTACAAGTTACGCATTTGGTGGTGATGTAGTAAGTGTAAACGGAAAGGTAGCGATGATGCCTATTTATTTAGGTACTGCAGACTTTATGGTGCACCATATCTACGCATTTACTGTTCACGTTACTGTACTAATTCTTCTAAAGGGTACTCTATTCGCGCGTAGTTCTAGACTAATCCCGTACAAAGCAAACCTTGGATTTAAATTTCCTTGCGATGGACCTGGACGCGGAGGTACTTGTCAAGTTTCTGCTTGGGGTCTTTTCTGGATGTACAACTCAATCTCAGTAGTAACTTTTCACTTTAAGTGGAAGATGCAATCAGATGTTTGAGAAACTGTTTCACCAGAAGGTGCTCTTTCACACATTACTGGGGGAAACTTCACTAACTCTTCGATCACGATAAACGGATGGTTACGAGACTTCTTATGGGCACAAGCGTCGCAAGTAATTCAGTCGTATGGTTCTGCTTTATCAGCTCATGGTCTAATTTTCTTAGGTGCACACTTTATTTGGGCGTTTAGTTTAATGTTCTTATTCAGCGGAAGAGGTTACTGGCAGGAGCTTATTGAATCAATAGTTTGGGCGCACAATAAACTTAAATTAGCACCTTCGATTCAACCTCGTGCATTATTAAGTATTACTCAAGGTCGTGCTGTAGGTTTAGCACATTACCTTCTAAGGGGTATTGGTACTACTTGGACATTCTTAGAAGCAAGAATTATATCCGTAGGATACAAATCTCACAGCATAACAAGGACAAGGTAGATAAAACAGAAAATAATCATTTATAAAAAAAGTTAATGGCGACAAAATTCCTAAGTTTAGTCAAGCTTTAGCACAAAACCCCGCCACAAGACGTATCTGGTATCGTATTGCTACTGCGCACGATTTCGATAGTCATGACGGAATGACAAAAGAAGTTCTGTATCAAAAGATATTTTCTTCGCACTTTGGTCACCTGGCTGTGATCTTCTTAATGACGATTACAGCTGCTCTACTAATCGAAGCAAATAGAATTTTTCCCTGATGCTTTATTTATACCTATATAGCTGGTATAAAAAACTAAAGCTCCATTTCAAGATATATCTTGAAATGGAGCTTTTAAAAAGGGCGAGTGACGGGATTCGAACCCGCGAATGCTGGAATCACAATCCAGTGCCGTAACCGCTTGGCCACACCCGCCTATAATAAACGCGCATTTATATATGCATTCAGACTTTAATTATTATTTAGATGTATATATTCAGCGATCACTCGGCTCAGGCCAGCACAACTTTCAGAATTCAAAACATCAGTCAGACGCCAGCTTGAATCCCTAGATCAGTAGCATATAATACTAATAATATATGCCTAAAATAACTGCCTGTCTGTAAAAAAATCGATAACTATAAGCGAACATGTTAACAGCTATAGACATATATAAACATAGACATATATAAATATGTATGATAGGGATTCAAGCTGGCGTCTGACTGTTCTGAATGTTGTGCTGGTCTGAGCGCTGCGTCGCCCATTGCCTGCTGCGTGCCTTAGTCGGCTGCGCTGGCTTGGGCGCAACCGCGCGTGCCGATGGATCTCCGGTAGTGTGCCCGGGCAAGGGCGGTTAGGGAGATGATCTGCTGGTTGCTGTTTGTCGTGTTCCCACGCTGGGCAGCGATCGGGGCCAGCGCGCTCAAGCGCGCGAGCAGCAACTGCGCATGGCCGCGTGCCGCGATCGTACCGATAGTGTCGATGAGCTGCTTCTTGATGCGCGCGGCCGCCTCCATCGGACCCACGCCCATCAGCGCGTACATCTTGCGGCCTCCCTGCGCCGCGATTTCTTTCACGAGCGAGTGCGTATCGGCGCTGACCTCACCGAAAGCGCTGATGACGATCTTGCGGATCGGCTTGACGGTGTTGAGCTTGGCCTCGATCGGGCCGATGCTGGCGTTCGGGCCGTTTTATTACATAATTTTTACGATTACTATAGTAGCAAAAGGTGCATATTACACTGCGCACTGATGATTATCATACTAGTTTTGCGCCGCAGGCGGGTGGCCAGCAGTCCCAGAGCGCAAGCAGGCTTGAGGCTAGACGCGGTAATTGAGTAATGTGGACGCTGCCAGGCCGCGCGCGCTTCAAGGGGTGCGTGCAGCCACTGCAGTGTCGGGAGGGAGGCTGCGCAAGTCGGAGTCTGCCGGCCGGCTCGCTGCTCACTCAATGTCCATCCCGGCGAACGCTATGATGGCCGGTCGCGGCTCGGCAGGCGCGCCGAAAAGGTGAGCAGGTGCTGCCCCGGCCCTCTCGCGAATGCAGACGGTGATCGCCTCAAGGCAGGGCGGCAGCGCCCCGCTCGTCTCAGCGGCGGCAGGCGCGAAGGAGTGGGTGAGCACCATCTCCACGAGCGAGAGCTCCGTGCTGAATTTGCACCCCAGCCGCGCGAGCGCGCGTGTGCGCACGGGCGCGGGCCTGCGCCTGCCCTGCAACACGGCGGCGCGCTGCGCGGCGGCGGCGAGGCTGTGCGCGGGGTCGAGCGCCGCCGCGCGCAACTGCTCGGCGTCGTCGGCGTGCAGGAGCCAGCCCGCCTCGGACAGCGCGAGGCCGAGCAGCTCATGCGCCGCGTAGCCCGTCAGCTCGTCGACCGCGTCGCTGACGTAGGCGACGCGCAACTTGTTGTCGAGCCGGACGATCACGTCGCCACACTCGCTGAGCACGGCCAGCGCCCCGTCGGCGAGGGGCGGCGCGCCGGCGGCTCCGTTGGCGCCCTCCGCGGCAGAGAGGGCGCGGCAGAGCAACGAGACGTGCGCACGCGCCGAGGGCGAGCCGTCGGGGGTGGCGAGGGGGGCGGGCGTGCAGAGGAGCACACAGTGTACGCGCAGGCCGGCGTACTGCCCCGGCAGGCCCGACGCACGCAGTCGCCGCTCGCCGAGGTCGACGGAGCCGCCGCCAAACCCTTTCACGGGCGGCGCGGCCGAGGGTGGCACGGCGGGGGGGGAGATGGGGCGCGCGGGGGGGAGGAGGGAGATGTCTGGGCAGAGGCGGTGAAGCGCGGCGCAGAGGAGGGCGAAGTCGTCCGTCTCGAAGAGGGCGGAGAGGAGCATCCCCGTGGCGCCGGAGAGGGAGCCGCCGCCGCCGAACGAGGCATCGAGGTTTGTGCTCGCGTAGGCGATGAAGAGGGACGGGGGGCTGGCCGCGGGTGGCCGCTGGGCGGCGGCTGGGGGAGGCGGGGTGGGGGCTGGGGGAGGCAGGGTGGGGGCTGCTAGTTCTGCTCCTAGTGCTGCTCCGAGCTGCGCGGGGGCGACGTGCAGCGCGAGGGCAAACACCTGGTCCGGGGGGGGAGGGGGAAGGGCTGAGTTGGGACTTGGGCTGGAGGCGTGACTACATGGAGGGGTCAAGGATGGGGCTGGGGTTGTGACTAGGACTGTGGCGGTTAGGGTGGGGCGGGGCGGAAAGGGCGGAAAACAAACAAACAAAGAAATGAATAACAACAACAACAACAACACTACACACAAGAAGCACCTTGCTCCCCGTGAGGCAGTTGCAGTTATTGTGGCGGTTATTAAAGAAGGGGCTGGGCACTTCCTAAGCAATAAGAAAATAATGCATTTGCCAAGAAGCTCCTTGCCCCTACGCCTCCGACAGGGGCTGCAAATGGGGAGGCGTTAAAAGAACTAAAAAGAAGAAGAAAAAAAGCACCTTGCTCCCCACAAGGCAGTTGCAGTTTGGCTCGAGCAGCCATTCGGGAAGTGCCTGCCGGGAGCAGGGGTGCGCAGGGCAGGCGGAGGAGGGGGTGGGCGGGTCAGCGAGGGGGGTCAGCTGTTGGCAGGAGGAGGAGGAGGAGGACGGGCCAGTGATGGTGCGAGCTGGGGCCGGTGGGAGGGTGGGGTGCGCTCGGGTTCTATGGGGGGTGGGTGGGAATCAGAATATGGTCTGGAGGATAGCGCACCTGGGGGGGGGAGGGAGGGGAGGGGGGAGGTTCGCCTCACCTCGGCGAGTTCGAAGGTTCGCCTCACTTCGGGGAGTTCGATCGCGTTGCCATTCTTCGCGAGGCAGCGCAACGAGAGCGGCTCCGGCCTGCGCGCACCCGTCTGCCCGTTGGCCTGTGCAAATTCATTCGACTGCACGTTGGTTTGCGCGTTGGTCTGCGCGAGTGGAGTGCTCTGTCCGCCCTACACATATTTATATATTTATACATATATATATATATATATATAAAGTGAGACACAACAACAGCAGCGAGACACTCAGTACCCCTACTCCACTACACTCGGTGTCTGCCTGCTGCGCACCCGCGAGGTGAGAGTCAGAGACGGAGGTGCCAGGCAGGGAGCAGTGGGAGGGCAGCAGTGGGAGTAGCAGTGGCAGCAGTGGGGGGGGG